TAGGTCTATACTAAATTCTGAGAAGAAAAAAAAACCTGCAAGTGCAAATACAAATCACTGATAGAGAACATAATTGTACAGAAATCACTGTATCTGCACTTGAAAGAAAAATTAAATTACTACTTTTTCTGTGTTTAAACTATTCATACCGATTAGAAGTTAGCAGGCGCTCTCTCTGCTAGACAACAGCAACTGTCATAGTAGAAACTTACCACATTTATAGTAGAAACATTAATTTCCAAATATAATTGGGTGCCACGGGGGAAAAAAAAAGTCTGCCTTTACTGATGATTAAAACATTTTAAGTGCAGAGTTAGAAAATTAAAAAAGCTCTATTAATATAAAAAGTAAGTCCGTGTGATCAGAAAAATACGATGGTAGAGACCCCACTGACAACAAGGTTTCATGGAACATAATCTCCTTGTTCTAGTTCAGCATTTAACTCCACTGACCATGTAAGTACAGTTTTCAGAACACCAACCACAAACAATCTAACTTTGTTTACCTATGAAGTATGAAATGAAACAAGCAGTACAATCAAACTGTATTAACTTTTTGAACTTTATATACCCTTTTACGATGCCTAGAAAGAACACTGAAACATGAAGCTACATTTTCACTCATTTGTTCCAAAATATTTCTTTACAGAAGGAAAATGAAACTAAACATCTACATCACCTGTCCCATGACTCTCTCCGATTCACATAGAAGGTTAACTTCAAAATGGATAACATCCCTCGTAACAAAATGAACCTTGCTCTCTCTGTGAATAATGCTTAGCTAAACATGTGTTTTACCCCACAGCACAGGAGCTTGCTCAAGACCTGAACCAGAACCAAAAAAAGTGGTCTGCATAGAGCAAACACAAGCCTTCAAAATAAGATTAGGAGAACATACCCTGTTCTTACCATTCAAACAAACATACGACCTAATGGTGTATCTATGATCAAGGAAAATAATCTTACAAGGAAAAAATGCAGGCATTCTCTACTTTGCTAAAGCCCATCTCCTGTGGATAAGAAAGATACAGCTGTACTCTTGAACCCATAAGGCCTGGAAACTAGGCCATTCTTCTGCTTAAGGCACTGAACGAAAGAATTCTTGTCAGATACTTTCTCCCACGCCCCCTCTGTCCAAATCAAAACCATGTGTTCTTATTGTGCAAAAGCAAATCCAGAAGGAAAAAAAAAACAGAAAGAAATTAAACATGGTATAATTATTATTACCCCAACCTGACCACTCCATTGCATCCTCTTATCTCTTGCCCTGTTCAATTTTTTTTTTTTTCTTTAATATGCAGCTGTCTACTTGCCTCCACTATCAGGAAGTCATCCTTAACCACACCCACTTGAGCTGGCACCCAAGACAGCACCCTTCCCTCGCTAGCCTGCAAATGGGTGTGCGTGTGTCAAAATTATAATTATTTGTATGATAATGAAGCAAATCACATGATCATGGGTCACTGTATTATCCTTCCTTAAAACTCCCTCTGCCACGACTTCTCTTAATCACTCTCATATGGCACTGGCTAGGTAAGACAAACTGCAATTCCCACATTCCTCCTCGACTCTGGCCACTGTTATCATCCAGCACTCCCGCCTTGTTTGTTCCCTCTTCCGGCGTAAACATGCAAGATCTCTGCAGTGGAATTAACCAACCTTTATGTGTCTGAAAAGTACAAAGCAAAACAATACCTTAAAACTTAGCTAGATGGGTGACACCATAACACAAATAAATAGTAATACCTTTGCAAATAATAGTAATACCTTCAAAAGGTTAAATTACACTTGCTATAGAAAAACAAAGTATTCTTGTGCCAGACTGAGGTCCTTATATCAGAAAAAGCAAAGTACAGCATTCTCATTTTTATTAATTTTACTAAAGCAAGTAGTATACAGCCGACTGTTGAATCTCTATGAGTCTTTTCTTACACAGAGCTCCCCAAAAACATTTAAGAGAATATATTACCAACATATTTCTTTTCTGTTGCCTTAATTCAGGAAAACCATTCCCCAATTTAATGACATAATACAATACAATTTGAAGGGAAAAACATAAAAGCCCCTCTTTCCTCAATTAATACCAACTCAATGAAAACAAAAGAGCTACTCTAGCTCAAAGCTTTTGATTCCTGTCCCTCTCCTCCTCCAGCCTCAGCAGAGATGGGAAGCTCAGTTCACCCGAACTAACCCCAACTGCAAGTGTTTGAATGCACTGAAACATTACCTACCACAGCCTACATAAAATGTATCAAGAGGAAGCTGTAAATAGTTACATGTACAAAATCAAAACACAGAAAAATTATTATTTTGAATACTACTCTTATCCCTCACTTGAAAAAAAATAAATCCAGTAATAGGCATGAAAATAATCTTTACTGTACTGCCTCCACCCATTAATGTCCCCAATAAACCACTGAATAGCAGTAAGTGTTTGGCACTCATATTCTATTTTGTTTCCTCAAACATAACTTTCATGAAAAAGAAATAACAATCCTAATGAAAAATATTTATGGACATATGCTAGAAAAGTTAAACATAGCACTGGGAGACATAAAGAACAGCAAAAAGGAAAAGGAAAAAAAAAAAGGGTGTGAATTTCTGTAACGCAGACCTATCAGTTATACACATACTGACTGTTTCACAACCACTTGTCTACCTGTTGTTTGTCCGCTGTTGGCAGTGCCTGTACCTTTCACTCCAGCTTTCTGATAAGACCTTATCAAGTAATCTGCTGCATGATCTTATCCCTTCTATACTATTTTCAAAGGGCACTTTGGGATAAAAGGCACAAAGAATTATGGAAATATGCATGTTTTTCACCCATCCCACCAGGAACTCATATAATTCCTCAAGGAATGTATATTCTTATGACAGGTGCTATATCGAATTATTACAAATTTTTTTTTTTCCAAATGACAGACCACATGCTTGTATACTCACTGAGAAAAGCATACATTGAAATTTTATTTATTTTCCATTTTAAAGAGCACTGAAAGCAGCTGCCAAGAGACGGGGGGTGGCAGTGGTAGAATAGTTCCCTATGATTTCATGCAACGACCTCACGCCATGTGCAAAGCACAGCTGGACGCGTACGTAGGTTTGTACTCAGAACCATCAATCAGCTCTCTCCGGGATACAGAGCTACAGTCTGTCCCTCGAGAATCACACAATGGAGCAACATTGCTGAGATGGCCACACATATGAGACAGAAAAGAGCACTCTCCTGAAGATCACCATTAGCTGCAAACTTGGGAGAGCTTCCCTCATATATGTATCAGAAATCAGAAATATGCACTGCAAAGATGGATTTATTTACCAGGCCAAAACCACTCATACTTATGCTGCTCTTGCTCCTCACTCTTTACTCGCTTTAGTTGCAACTTCTCAGCACCTCAGTTACTCAGAGCTTACTCGCTAAACTGTGTGCATCAAGACCCATCAGCATAAACACCTCCCCAGTCCATTAGCGTTTACTACCAGGAAGAAGCAAATTAAAAGTAAATTAAGAGTCTCACCTTACCATGACAGAGTCCATTTTAAATCAAGGAATGCTGCTGTTTGGGAAGTCAGCAATGGACCACCTCCTCCTCCATCCCATGTTTGCCACTTTAGCAAAAGGTCTTACATAGGGAGATCACGGGTACCGGAGAGGACTTCCCAAGGCTCCTCCACGGGCAGAAGTAACAACCTCCTCTGCTCCAAAACCCAGCAGACACCATACTAATGGCAGCACTAGAATTACTTTGTGCAGATTTGGGAACTTACTACTGCACGGCTCTTTACTGTTTATCTGACTGGAGGATTATATTCATTAGTATTAGGTTACAGAGTTATACCAAGATTTCCAGAAGCAAATGTGCAAATTTGAGTATTTTGATATCCTGTACAACCTCGTTCTTTTAGACCCCCAATGCACTCACTGAAATAATAATAACAACAACAAAAAAATCCTTACCTATCTCTAGGTGTCAAAATAGAGCATTCAAAAGTAGCACAGTATTTTCTAAATGAACACTTTAATTGAAGTTTTCATTCTATAGAAGTTGATGACGTTTGAGAATATTTCCATTTGCCTTGTATAAATGTACCCTGCAAGTCTTATGTACTTATTAATAGATATACGCATAAATACTTATCTCTTCCTGTCATCTCTCATCCACATTCCTATATACATTTGAAATGGAGACTCAAAAGCAACATGTATCACTCAAACGTGGACTTTGTCATTTAATTAAATCTAAACTTTCATTTTCATCTGAAGGACTTGCTTTTGTTCTGACACTAATGCAGGACTCATCAGCCTGTGAAGAGTAAGGACAGACCAAACGCATCTACTTGCTTTAAGCTTTAACTAGGAACCACGCTGATATTGCTATGTCAATTAAACTTCCACTGAGTGACTGATACTAAAAGCTCATTATAATAAGACAACAAGCTAGAGTTTCACTTCTTTAACTATATTAGCTCATTTCTGTTACCTTTGTCTTCCAAATCCTCTTCTCGTATTCACTTTTCATTTCATGTAATTCAGTAACCTATTCAGCAGACACTGCTGCTTTGGCTCATACAGTAACAAACATTATGAGCTCCTACTCTTAGCGAGAACCTCTACAGTTTGATGCAATACAAACAAGCGTCTTCTTTGACCCATTTCAACCCACCAGGCCACCTTCCTTCGCTTCTTACTGATCGCTTTCTGCCCCACTAGAAGTTGGGTGCAATTGCATGCGTTAAGTTTCATACGACTCCTTTTTCCCTCCTGTGCCTTCTGTCACCTCCCCAAAGGCAACTAGTGATATCTAGTATACATTCCAAACATACCTCTTTTAATACTGGTCCCCTCACCCAAGATGAAAATTTCACACCTCCCATACTACCTCCTGTTTAAATAATCACCACTGATGGACAGGACCAGACATGGTCCAGGATTTTAAGATTTCTCAGGTACACTGTCTACTATAACCGAGACCGGTTATTTTCTGCGGGAAGACCACCACAATGGAGAACAACCCTACGCTTCTACACCGTCAAGTCTGGGCGGAGCAGAGGAAGAGTGCAAAGATGTTTAAACAGAGCACAAAGGAAGATCCAAACAATCAGCTCGGGAGGTACCAAGGACACGACGACAGCCTCTCTCAGACGCAACACAAAGCAAAACAGGGGAAGGAGTACAGTAACAGCGACGCCGGGGACCATCTCCGAGGTGCAAACCAAACAAAGAGCAAGTACGGCTGAACCCCCGAAGGCGAGAGGGAGCCGAGTGCCAGGCAGTTAGAAACCCCACGAGTGGGTGCCCTGACCCCCACAGGGGTGCCCGGTGTGGGGGACGCGTGAAGGCAGGGCAGCCCGGCCTGCAGCCCGCGGGGGCTAGAGGCCTCTCCCCGGCGGGGAACCG